AAAGTATGTATTTCTGTTTTAAAAAAAATCTCACCAAACTAAAAGCTTCTCCCCTGTATACATATCTACCATGGTTCTAACAAAGAGCGCCCGCCCCCCCGCCCAAATGCAGAAGCCCACCTTGGGAAGATCATCACCAACACTATGAACAGAGTAATGGCTAAATTTAACCACTCTTAAGCATCAGGCCGCCATGTAGTCTAGAAACCACTGAGGGTATCAATACCATAAGAATCATCAATAAGCCAATAGCCATAATTATTGTTTAGGACGTAGACAAGAAACATGGTGCTTAAAGAAATACGTTGATCTATAACCAAAGAGGTGGCACCTTTGATTTGTCAAACCTTAATTAACAAAGATGGAATCTTGGCATTTAAGTGTGCAGTTAGGGAAACTCACTTGGTTGGAGAAGACTTTGATTAGACAATCAATCTCACAAAACCCTAACAGACTACCCTCTGCATTGGTTCACTTGGAAGCATATGAAGTCAGGAAATACAGTATTCCAGCAGGGCAGCATCAGATGAGCTTCTATAATGGAAGCAACCCAGGAATCCATGCAGGATTCTGGCATCTACTCTGTGGCCCCTGTGGCCCTTTGTTGACAGCTCAGGTTCTAAGAAATGAGACCACATAGGTGAGGATGGGTGCCAACTGTGCTTAGAAGCCTCGTGTTCCACAGGAGCCATTGCCTCTAGTAACAATCCTTTGGACACGGCAACCAGCACCCCAACAAGGGACATGACCAGTTGCAAGAACTTGCTACACTTAGGGAAGCCCAAAGTATCCCACCAGATACTTACAGTTTATTTCCAGGCCTACCAGTTCAGATACAGTTTATCAATTAAGTATTATTTCCACCAGAAGTAATGTTGCCTAGACACAAGGCTGACATGCCACCTTTACCAAGTTACCACAGTAACTGAGCTAGAAAGTTAACTTAATTTGTCCATAGAGAAGAAAAGGTTTTTTAACCCTTTCTTCACATCTTGCTAGAGAAGTCTCAGGCCTGTGAGGTCATCCTGGTGGGTGGTTTTAGCTGCATTTCCAAGCTTCAGAAACTTAGAAATTCCTACAGGATTTTTTTTTTTTTCAACAGAAAAAATTGGAAAAAAGCATCAATCCTGATAAGGGTGTTACTTATGTTTGTAGCTATGTAGGCAGCCATCTTGTCCCTTGTCTGGAGATAAATCTGAAAATATTCAGGATTCACTGCTCTCTGATATCATCCCTTTTCCTAGTAATACTGAAATCACTACTTTGGTATTGAAACCACTGGTGAAGTCATGACTATTCTGGTTAAGTGCAATACACAGTTCATTCCAAGTGAATTTAGAACTTCACTATCTACTCTATGAAATTGAGTGAGCAATGATGAAAGATCACAACCAGTTTGGCAAGTTTGAACTCACAGATATCCTTCCTGTATCCTTTAGATTTGTACAAACTGAAGTAACATTTGATATTGATGATAACAGCATCTCAAATGTATTTGCTCTAGATAAGAAGAGATCAAGAAAAGAGAAGATTAAAAGTCCAATGTCATGGTGTTTGAGCATGGAAAACATTGAGTACATGGTCCAAGAGGTTTAAAAGTACAAAGCTGGAGATGAGAAGCAGAGAGGTGAAATATCCCCTACATACATGCTCTGATCCTAAGTATTCAACAGTAGGGCCATGGTGGAAGATGAGACACATCAAAGCAGAAATAAAGATGACGCCAAACAGAAGATTCTTGGCAGGTACATTGGAATCATCAAATGGCTGGCGAAGAATCAGATTACTGAGAAGGAAGAATTTAACATTAGCAGAAAGAGCTGGAGATATCTTTCCTCTGTATCCCTGGAACTTTTTGTCTTTCAGCATAATCACATACAGCTTCACTCTCTTCTCTGGATGGACCCTTCATCTCCTTGCTCTAACTAAAACTTGAGTGTTCCATGAGGACCCTGTTTCCCTTGTAGGCCTCTACAGTGGTAGATTTTTTCCCCTCACATCACTCATCTAGTGGGCCTGGAGATGGAGTCTATGTCCCTCCTGATACTCATTGCCACTTGCAAACTCGTTGCCTTCCCTCCTGCCTAAACCCGTTACCCAGCTTTGAATTCATGTTATGAGACTACCACACTCCACCCTTTCTTGTTGAAATCAACTACTCTCTCTGTTGCAATCACTCTCCCCATTGCCTATTGACTCACTATTGCTCTTATTTACACTACTCCTATCTTCTCCTATCTTCATTATTTCAAAATCCACTTAGATGTTCATTCTAACACTCAGGCCTGTCAGTCCCTTGAATTCTTCTACTCTAGTGATATTTTCCATTACAGTACTTCAGTCACTCATTCTAGGGGACACATCTTAAACATTAACAACTCAAGCACTGCATAATCCTCCTTGTTAAGCATTTCTATTTCTGACCATAATCTAGCTTCCCATTCACTCCCACTGGTACATTGATTCCAACAATCCTTCAATCCTGGGATCTACCATCCACTGATCATTGTTTACCGTCCCTCAGCCTCCCCTTCCCCCACATCCTTTCTGAACTCGCTTACTTTTGATGGCCAATTACATAACTACCCTCTTGAATGCATCTTTAATACACTTGCCCCCTCTCCATGTTATTTGCTTGGCTTCCCCCATTCTGGTTTAAAACCAACTCTTTGCCTGACCTCACATAGCTGAATCTAGCTGGATAAAGAAATATCGTTAACAGTACTATAGGCCGGTGGCATTTATCACTGGAATTTGTATTCCTTGACTACTGATTTATGTGAAAATAAAAATAGGGGTAAAGGAGATTGATCAGAGTTTTGTGGCATAGAATTAAAAGGCACCATGTGCCAATAGATAGTGGAGGCTTAAGCAGGTGGAATTAAAAACGGCTTAGGTTTCTAGCCTAGAAGTCTTGTGTTGTTGTAAACAATGTTTAAGATCTTTCACCTATTACTGCATCATTAATTATCAAAAGGAGCAAGTTCTTATTACAGATTAGGAAACTAGTTCTCAGGAAGTTTATGCAACATTTAAATTCCCAGTCATTAAGTGGCAGATGGAATTTCCTGAAAACCAAGATTGTTTCTATAGCTCTGTGTTTAGACCAAAGTACTATTTTTTTAATAAATTTTTAAAGATTTGTTTTCTATTATAAAACAGACCAGAGCCAGATTTGTGGTGGGCAATAATACTCTCAGGATCGTCATCCAGTTCCATTCCCTCACTTCAAAAAGAACTAAAGCCTAAAGTGGTGGTGTGATTTACTAAGTGGAAGATCTAATATTAGAATTCAGATTCCCCCAGCTAGTGCCATTAACTCAACCTCCGAGAATAGGGCCAATTAAACGGAATTACATCTGCTTCTCAGAAAAAAAGATCTAATGGTTACAGAACAAAAGTTGAAAGAAGACCTCTTTATATTCCACAGAGCTTCCAAACTTAATTGCCTCAGTGAATCCTCCAGGTACGTAATTGCATCCTTTAACAAAGATTCCTTCTTATAGTTGGAACCGTGAATGTTGTGGTGCTTCCATTATTGTCCTCGAACCGGAAATACCCAGAATGAAATGCAGGGGACCACTGGCGGCAGCTCCCAGCTGCAGAGTGCGTCATTGCAGGAAAAGAAGCTGGGACGAGGAAGATTGCGACCCCACCCAGGGCCAAATAAAGAAAAGCCCAATGCACAGATTTGTTTCTGCTGAAGACCGGCGTCGATACCTGTATTGGGTAACGGTCAGCTTGGCCTCGGGCTCGGCCCCAAAGCCGGGCAAGTGCTGGTTTAGATAGGCCTCTAGGGACCCGCTGTCGAACTTGTGCTGGGGCAACACTTCGCCCGAGTCGGGCTCAGGGGAAGCACTGGGCTCCATGGCTGCGGCTGCCGCTGCCAGCCAGAGACGCAGATTCCACAGGTCTTCGGCGCTGAGTCCCCTGGCGGCAGAGACTACCACTCCGCAGCCAGGGGGGGTTGAGGCCCTGACGCGTCGGGGCGAACAGGACCCAGCCGCTCCAGCCAATCACACTGCCCCTGAATCTGGTGACTTAGGCTCTAACTGGGATATGCCAGAGGACCTCCGCGTTCTCGCATTTAAAAAATTTTCATTCAGTCTCACAGTCGGAGGCCGCAATCTTAAGGCAAAGCCATGTTAGTCGCTGCGAGCAATTTAGAACGAAAAGGCCCCTTGCACCCCAAATTTAATGCACCGGCAGCCGTAAGACCTCTACAGGGTCCGGTTCAGAAAAGGGTCCGTCAGGGCCTTGAGCCCAGGAATAAAAGATCCTGGTGTTTCTTCTAGCCACCGGGCTGGAAAAGCAATATCGCAGGCCGCGGGCTTTGGACGCTAAGGACTCCCGGCCCTGCTACGGCCTGGTCTCTTAGGACTGGGGCGAAGAAGGCAGCCAAGAAGGGCGTTTTGTTTTTGTTTTGCTTTTCCTGCGGGGGAGCGATGACTGCAACGTACCGGAAGCGGTACCTTGGGAGGCCGGCGGGAGCGGCCGCAACGTGTAGTCTGTGCGGCGCTGGGAGCACTTCCCCAGGGTTCTGGGCTAGGAAGGCGGTGGCTACGTGCCTCCTCACCTACCCCTGGCGGGGTCTGCAGGCCTAGCAGCGTGGGGCGGCGGCGGCGGCGGCGGCGGCGGGGGCTGGGAGCGTTGGCCGCCGGGGTCCCAGCCATGGCCGAGTCCGTGGAGCGGCTGCAGCAGCGGGTGGAGCAGCTGGAGCGGGAACTGGCACAGGAGAGAAGTCGGCGAGCTGTGGGGGGCGGCGACGGAGGAGGCGGCCGGGTCCGCATCGAGAAGATGAGCCCGGAGGTGGTGGACTCCAACCCCTACAGGTGACCTGCGTTGCGGGTCGGAGGCGGGCTAGGGGGTGAGATCAAGGTCTGCGAGTGGTCAGGAGTGAGGCGCTCCCTTCCTGTCAAGCTCAACACGGCCTCCCCGCCTTCCTCTTCTTGTGCTGGGGTCCCGCTCCCAGACGCGCAAGGCCAAGTCTTAGTAGTGGTGGAAAGGTAGTCTTCCTCTTAAAAAAATACACACCCACACCCACCAAAACCCGAATGAATCAGCCATATGGTGCCGCTCCCCGGCCTGCTGAGGATACGCGTCCGGTTTCCCTCATGCCCCGTCCACGTCTCCCTCGTTCTGCACAAAGCTGACAGTAATAACTTTCAGAAGATGACATTAAATGTAAAACCCCCTAAGCATCAAACTTCGAGTTTCATAAAGGCTTCTCAGTACTTCAGAACTGGGGACTTGGGGAGAGCAGGATTAGCTTGCTTTAAAGCTGTTCGACTGGACCAGTCCTGCCCGCTCCTGTCCTTTCAGCTGGCTGAATATAGTGCAGTGGTTCTAAGAGTAAGGACTCTAGAGCCCGACCGATTGGATTCAAATCCTAGCTCTTAGTAGCTGAGCAACCATGGGAAATACTTGTGTATAGCAGGGACCAATGGTACCAGTGAAATCTTCAGATAATACCTAAAACTGAAAATCCAGAGGTAACAATGTTGGCGAGCTATTTAGAGATTTGTTAGTAACAGTTGAAAATGAGGAGAGGAAAAGGACGGTCGGGGCCAGAATGCAGAATTTCCTAGCAAGCCTGATAGAACTATTTGACTCTTTAAAGTGTAAACGAATGGGAATTTTATGTATATGTGTATAGGTTTAAATGTATATATTAAAAACTTTACAGTAACTAGGTAAAGTAGCTCTCTTAAGAGTCCTTGGCGTGCAGTAGGTCCTTACTAAAAGTAGACACCATCCATTATGGGTGGAGACAACTATGTTAAACATTAAATCTGGGTGTTAAATATGAAATATTTACATATGCTAAGAAAGCACAGAAATATGTTGAAATTTCACTTTGACCTATCTCATCTGTACACTTAACATTTAAGTCAGTGGTTTTCAGTTGTGGCTGTCCATTAGAATATCTGAGGAGCATTTAAAAAAAAAAAATCTTGTTGCGCAGGCTACACCTGGAAGGGTATTCAGTGTTTTTAAAGCTGCCCAGGTGACTTAATTTCATCTGGTAAAAGCCAACTGAAAGATTTCTTTTAAAGCATTAATAGTGATTGAGTTCGTGTTTTTCTGTGATGATGTGTTTACCTGTATCATAATAAAAAGATTGTAAGCTTTAAAACATTTTTTCTTTGTTTTAAGCCGCCTGATGGCATTGAAACGAATGGGAATTGTAAGCGACTATGAGGTATGGTAAACCTTTCCAAGTTTTTGAAGATGGTTTCAGTAAATGAAAATAATTTCTGATGACATTTTTGATGAAAAGTTAACCAACAAATATATAATTTTGCATTTCACAGAAAATTCGAACCTTTGCTGTAGCAATAGTAGGTGTTGGTGGAGTTGGTAGTGTGACTGCCGAAATGCTGACAAGATGTGGCATTGGTAAGGTAAAAACATTTCTCTTTGCCTGTCATAATGGGAAACTACTCACTTCTGGAGTAAATCAGGTATAAATTAGGAATTTTTCTCATTATTAATGGTTTATTGATTTGTGGTGTCTTTATTCATATTGTTCTTTCTACCCACAGGAGTTAAGACACAACCCCACCCAAATGGAAGCTGATATTAATGCTAATAAAACAAGGAATATCTAAATTTTGTTCAGGAATTTTGTGTTTGGGATAATATATGTTACAATTTGGGCTTAAATGTTTTAGATATAGAAGCTTAGGAGAGAAGGCTGTTAAATTGATAGTATGTGAAACACAGGCATCTAACAAATATTTTTTAAACATGCTTTATACAAGATGGACTAGAAAGCATGTACCTTTTTTTTTCAAAAAATAGTTGCCCTTTATTAACTTATTTAGAAATATTTTAAAAAATTTATTGTAGTTGACATATAGTGTTAGTTTTGGGTTTGCAACACAGTGAGTGATTCAACAGTTCTATACATTACTCAGTGCTCATAAGTACAGTCACCACTTGTCACCATACAACATTATTGCAATATTGTTTACTATATTCCTTATGTTGTGCTCAGCCTTATAAAAAAATAAAATCTTGCCGTTTACGACAACATGGATGGTCCAGAGGGTATTATGCTAAGTGAAATAAGAGAAAGACAAATACTACATGATTTCAGTTATATGTGGGATCTAAAAAACAAAACAAATGAACAAACGAAAGACAGACTGTTAAGTACAGAAAACAAACTGGTGGTTGCCAGAGGAGAGGTGGGTGGGAAAATGGGTGAGATAGGTGAAGAGGATTAAGAGATACAAACTTCTAGTTAGAAAATACCCTTCTTACTCTTAAAATTGAAATGGAGAATGCGCTAAGATTTTTTTTTTAATCTGTACTTTTTTTTTTCACTTTTTTTCTAAAATTGATTTAGGTTGTGGGTAGAAAGGAGAGAGAACTTTATACCAGTCTCAGATTTGTAAAGCTAAAGTCTGTGATGTTAGATTCCTAGTGGTGGAATACCAAAGCTTTCCACAATTGATTTCCCCCTCTTTTGTCATTTTGACAAAGCAAGCATTTTTCCCCACAAAGTTTATCAGCTCTTTTTAATATGTTGGTCTGTCCCATGCCCCCGAATTCTTTTTTTTTTTAAGATTTTATTTATTTGAGAGAGAGAGTGCATGCCCGTGCACAAGCAAGCTAGGGGGTGGGTGGGCGGGGAGGCAGACAAGCAGACTCTGCACTGAGCACCGAGCCCAGTGTGGGGCTTGATCTCAGGAACCTGAGATCATGACCTGAGCTGAAATCAAGAGTCGGACACTTAATCGACTGAGCCACCTAGGCGCCCCCATCCCCCAAATTCTTAAAAGAAAGTGGTTTCAAAGTTGGCACTCATTTATCAGTATAGAAAAGGCAACACAAAAATACTAAAAATGTTTATTAACATGTTAAAGTCTTTCAAGAAGTTTCAAAAGCCAGCCAACAATTGCTTATAGTTGACATAAGAACCATGGCTGATTGACCTAGGATAGTAGAGATCATGGAGATTATGGGTCTCCATGGTTTGAGTGTGCCTCAGAATCACTTGGAAGGCTTCTTGAGACATAGATTGCCAGACCCTATCCCGGTGGTTTTGATTCTTTAGGTTTCGAGTGGACCTAAGAATTTGAATTTGTATTAAATCCCCAGGTGATTCTGATGTTCTGGGGGGATTTTTTTAAGAACTGCTGGATCCTTGCTACTCAGTCAGATGCCCTAAGTAGTAGCATCAGCATTACCTGGGAGCTTGTTAGAAATGAATACTCCCAGGCCCCACCCCCCAGGCATGCTGAATTAAGAATCTGTTTAACAAAACTCCAGATGATTCATATGCATATTAAAGTTGGGGCAGTGCCCCTGTATTTCTGACAAGCTCCTGGTGATACTGATGCTGCTAGCCCAGGCCTCAGTTTGAGTAGCAGGGCTCTAGAACGGTGGTTATCAAATATTGCTGTAATTAGAATCACCTGGGAAGTTAAAAAATTTTTGATATCCAGAGTGGAATAGAATGAATCTTTGGGGATGGGACCCAGACATCAGTATTTTTTAAAACTCTCGTAGTGATTCCAGTGTGCATTCAAGTTTGTAAGTTAAGGATCTGCATAGGTTAAGTTTCAAAACTTTTCATTATGTAAAACAGATAAAGAAGAAGCTAATTCATGGTTAAATAGGGAAGTGGAGCATTGGAGACTCAGCCTACTTTTTACCCCTTTTGCGGTGTCCTGGATCACCAGATCTAGATTCGCTGCATTATTTTACAGATGAAGATACAGGCCTAAAAAGAGAGTGACTTATCCATGATCAGAGCTAATTAGTGACAGAGCTACAACTCATATCTCCTAACCCCAAATTTGAGATGTCCTTAACTTATAAACCAGCTATGAGGCTGAAGACTCAAATTTAATACTTGGCCTGCCCTAATAAATACTGTCTAATGAGCTGAAATAAGCTATATTTTGTTTTGACTCAGAAAATTATCATAGAGGGCAGACAGGGGTGATGTATTTTCTAGCAAGATATAAAGGGTTACCTAGGTGTTGTTCTGTAGTTTGGGTTAATTTTGTTGTTGTTAATAAGATCCCCCCCTTTTTTTTTTTTTTTTTATAATTTTAGCTGTGCACAGGATGGTGCACCACAAGCCACAGCCCCCCTCAACCACTGCTGTAGCCTTTGCCTCTGTGCTCACCCTGCCCTGGCCTTTCCCCCCATTTTTGTTTTTTTTTTAAATCTGGGATGCTGAGAATTATGTTATAAAGTTACAGAATTTTAGATGAAGGAAGGGACCTTGGAAATATTTCAGTGCAACCTGATAATTTCTTACTGATAAGAAATGGGATCTTTAAAAAGGTGTATGTATGAGTGTGTGAGTGTGAGAAATGCTGTTATGCCTAAATATATAGAAGGAAACAACAATTAACTTACTGGTTAGTAATTCTGTTTGGGGTGAGCACATTTTAGCCATGAGTTAAGAATGGTGTCATAGTCACAAAAGGAGTCATGTTATACTATAATTTTAATTTATGACATTTGTTATTTTAAAATTTCATCTAATGTGTTCTTGGCCTTTAGTAAAGGATTAGAATGAAATGGAATAAACATTGATTTCTCAGTGAATCATTTAGAGAGGCAGTAAGTGTTATGGTTCAGGTGCAGATGCTGGGTTGAGAATGCCTGAATTTGAATCCCATTTTCATATATATTAGCTGAGTGACTTTGGGGTATGTGCCGTAGTTGTCTCATTTATACCTATATGAGCATTAAATGAGTTAATATATGGTACCTAGTATTTTAGAATTAGCTAATATTATTACTGTCAAACTGTTAAACCCATCAAATGTGAAGTCCACTGATTTTTCTTTGTTATTTTTAGTTTATATTTTAGTATGTTTTTCATTAAAATACCACTGTTTTCATTTTAGTTGCTACTCTTTGACTATGACAAGGTGGAACTGGCCAATATGAATAGACTTTTCTTCCAGCCTCATCAAGCAGGATTAAGTAAAGTTCAAGCAGCTGAATATACTTTGAGGTAAATGGAATAACAATTAAAGACTATATTTAGTGAAACTTAGTTTGTGCATTTTGTATAAGTTAATGCATAAATTTGGGGCACCTGGGTGGCTCAGTTGGTTAAGCGACTGCCTTTGGCTCAGGTCATGATCCTGGAGTTCCAGGATCGAGTCTCGCATGGTGCTCCCTGCTCAGCAGGGAGTCTGTTTCTCCTTCTGACCCTCTCCCCTCTCGTGCTCTCTCTCTCTCAAATAAATAAATAAAATCTTAAAAAAAAGTTAATGTATAAGTTTTTCTCCATAAAAATGCAGGTTTTATACAAATTGTCTTACCTCTTGGAACAGGGTTGGCAACCCTTTTCTGCATAGGGCTAGATAGTAAATATTTTAGGCTTTGAGGGCCAACTATGAAACTGCCCAGCTATGTAGTGGTAGTGCGAGAACAGCTGTAGGCAATAGAAAAATGAATGAGCATGGCAGTGCTCCAATAAAACTTTGTTTATGGACTCTGATGCTTAAATTCCATGTAAGTTTAGCGTGTTATGAAATACTGTTCTTTTCTTTCCTGCCACCATTGAAAAAAAGGAAAAACCGTTCTTAGCTTGCAGACTTCATAAAAACAGGTGGTAGGTGGGGCACCTGGGTGGCTCAGTCGTTAAGCGTCTGCCTTCGGCTCGGGTCATGATCCCAGGGTCCTGGGATTGAGCCCTGCATCAGGCTCCCTGCTCGGCGGGGGGCCTGCTTCTCCCTCTCCCACTCCCCCTGCTTGTGTTCCCTCTCTCGCTGTGTCTCTCTCTGTCAAATAAATAAATAAAAAATCTTAAAAAAAAAAACTTGAAAAAAAAAAACAGGTGGTAGGTCAGATTTGGCCCAAGGGCCATACTTTGCCAACCCTTACTAAGAAGTTTCTTTGTGGCCTCGGGGCGCCTGGGTGGCTCAGTTGGTTAAGCGACTGCCTTCGGCTCAGGTCATGATCCTGGAGTCCCGGGATCGAGTCCCACGTCGGGCTTCCTGCTCAGCGGGGGGTCTGCTTCTCCCTCTGACCCGCTTCCCTCTCGTGCTGTCTCTCATTCTCTCTCTCAAATAAATAAATAAAATCTTTAAAAAAAAAAAAGAAGTTTCTTTGTGGCCTCAAACATACTTGCACTGAATTAAATAAGGAACAAAGAAGCTCTTTTGTCAGGCTAGGCTGTAGCTCACAGAGGTGATAAAGGCTTAATTCTGAGAACATACATGGTAGGAACATTTGTGTAATCCTGCAGTCAACAGGCTTTGAATGTAGTCCTTGAAGTGGGTCAAAGGAAGTAGAAGAGGGCTTCGGATTTTCTTTGAATAGCTTGAATTCCATTTTTCTAACCTTTGTTGAATGATCTTTCTCAGCTTTTTCCTGCTTTCACTTAGTATTCCTACCAGTAGTTTAATAATCATTCCCTTTTTCCCTCTTAGGAACATTAATCCTGATGTTCTTTTTGAAGTACACAACTACAATATAACCACAGTAGAAAACTTTCAACATTTCATGGATAGAATAAGGTAAAATTTTATTTATGAATATTTTGCACGGTGTCCAGCTCAGTTAAGTATCATTAATAATAAAATCTACTGATGTTTAACTCAGTGAGTTGGTAGATTCGATATGTTTTTAAAATAGTTAATTTTTGTGTGATCTCTATGTGTTAGGAGCTCAGTAAAAAGTAAATATTGTCCAAAAAACAGTAGTAACAACAATAAAAAAACCAAAAAACCTAAAACCCTGTAATTATAATGATAGAACAAGGGATCCTCAATTATAAGTTCTGTGTTCTAAATTATATTTCTATGTAAAAGTGGTTTTCTGCAGACTTTTGTAACTCCACTGAGATATTGAATATATTCAATTTTTATTAGATTTACATTTGGAGTGAAACATGAATAAAAGTCTGAAAGCTGATAGGGAAATGGTAACTTTTGTGAATAGACTTTATACTTCTTGTGCCTTCTAGGCAAAGTAATGTATCATTGATGTTCATATTAGCTACTTAATACATACTAGATCTTTAATATTAAATATTATGTCATAATTGTACTCATTTACTGAAAGAATAAATGTGTGCCTGAACAACTACAGTCTAATTAGAGTGTATTTTGTGCCCTGATTTTTTTTTTCCAAATAAATTTATTTTCTTTACCTAGTAATGGTGGATTAGAAGAGGGAAAACCTGTTGACCTAGTTCTTAGCTGTGTGGACAATTTTGAAGCTCGGATGACAATAAATACAGTAAGTATTCCTATTGTATAAGATGTTACACTCATGGATTTATCTATTTTCTTGTATAGTTCTGCATTTAAGAATAGTTCTGCATTTAAGACCTCATGTGTTTTGTTAATTTTTAATTATTTCTTACCCTACTTTTGAAATTTATTCTAATAGCTGTGGGATCTGTCTAGCCTTGCTGGTATGGCTTATGTTTCAGTAGCCTATTCTCTCTTATGCCAGTAGAGGAAACTATAAAATAGTAGATACTTCTGTTGTACAATTTTTAAAATAAATGACTACCTTAAAATGTCTTAACTCTATGTCAGCATTGGTTTTAACTTTTATTACTTTAAGTAAAGATATAAATATAAAATGCCTACAAACCTGGTTTCTCAGAAATAAAAATCTTTGAATTGCTATGTTTTCAATTTTTCAGAAGATATTTTACAGTTTTTTGTTGCTGAAATTATTTTAGAAAAATGAATTTTTACTTTAATAGGAAATCCAATAGCCTCATGATTCAATTTAATTAAATAGATATTTATTGACTGCTTACTTAAATGCTGTCAGTTTACTTTTTAAAAAAAAAGATTTTATTTATTTATTTGACAGAGAGACACAGCGAGAGAGGGAACACAAGCAGGGGGAGTGGGAGAGGGAGAAGCAGGCTTCCCACGGAGCAGGGAACCCGATGTGGGGCTCGATCCCAGGACCCTGGGGTCATGACCTGAGCCAAAGGCAGACGCTTAATGACTGAGCACCCAGGCGCCCCTGTCAGTTTACTTTTTAAATAGAGTGGCATTTGCCAAGGAATTCCACTATTCATAACTTTCCTCTTTTGAAAAATTTAAAAAACCCTTGGTAATCCATTTAAACTCCAATTTTTAATGAAAAGAACTTACACTAACATTACTTCTTTTTATGTTCTTTCTTATGTTTTCACCTGTTTTTTTACCAAGGCTTGTAATGAACTTGGGCAAACGTGGATGGAGTCTGGGGTCAGTGAAAATGCAGTTTCAGGGCATATACAGCTCATAATTCCTGGAGAATCTGCTTGTTTTGCGGTATGTGTGATTCATTTTGGCTTATTTTTTTCACTATTAAGTACTAGAGTTTCTAGGGGTATTGAAAATGTATTCAAAGAAAAAACAAACTTTGAGATGGAATACTATTTTGAGTATGTTATACTCTTTTCCTTTTGTTTTGAATATATTTTCTTTCATTCTTTTTCATATAGTGTGCTCCACCACTTGTAGTTGCTGCAAATATCGATGAAAAGACTCTGAAACGAGAAGGTGTTTGTGCAGCCAGTCTTCCTACCACTATGGGAGTGGTTGCTGGGATCTTAGTACAAAATGTGTTAAAGTGAGTGAGGGCTAATTTTTCTGAGTAGTCTTGGTTGTTTTTGATAAAAATGTATTTCATAAAGCATTTCAAATACTGGAATTACCAGCTAAGTATTCAGTTTTTTAAAAATCTAGTTTTAAATATAAATAAGTTTTTAAAATATGTATAATATATATGTACTTTTAATTTACATACTTCTTGGTATATCTAATTTAAATATAAGCATACATATTAATACACATATGTTACTCTGTATTTGGAATAGCTCATGTTAAATGGTACAGTGGTACTGGTGTATTTATATATGAAGTATTAACCAAATGATTTAAATCTCTGCAGTTTTGACCAAAGGGCATTAAATACACTTCTTTAATTCTTACTAAAAATATGAATGTGATTAAACATTAATGAGGATAATTATCTCTGCTATCCAAAAACAGATATGCAGCAACCACACCATCTAAACTATAGCAACAAAGATTTCTTTGCAGCTAAAATTAATGTCAAAGGGTTTTTGAACCAACTTACACTTTATTAAAACCAGAACCCCTTTAGGTGTTCTCTATCTCAGGCCATTTTTTTTTTTTCTCATTTTACAACTTTAGTAAGCTTTGTTATGTTTCCTAACCGTCCAATGTAATAAGAACAAGTTGCAGCATGATATAGAGAGGCACCCTGATATCAGAACCGTCAGCTACCAGCAAAAAAACTGTAAAAAGCATACATGAGAACTCTCAAGGCAACTGTCTAGGGCTAGTTCATATAAGAAAACTTCACAACCATACAAACCGTACAAACTTTAGCAGGCCCTATCTAAACAAAACGTTTTATAGTATGCTACAAAAAGGATGAGGGGCGGAAATCATGGTTATAAACTGTTCTCTTAAGGATGTGTCCTATTTAGCCAGCCCCTTATTGATGGACATTAAAACTACTTAGATTTTTTTTTTGCTTTTTTTAACAATGCTGCAGACAACATCTTGCATGATTCTTATGAATTTTTAGAAGTGGAATTTCTGAGTTTATGCAATATTTAACAGACAGTACTAAATTTCTACTCCAAAAATACACATTTCTATCACAGTGTAGGAGTACCTGGTTCACCCACACTGGTTGATAACATTGGGTATCATCAGACTTTTTAATTTTTGTTAATATCATGGGTGAAAAAAATGGGTATCTCATTTTAATTTTCAGTTGTTTATGGAAAGGGGTGAGCACTTATATTTTTCTGTGAATTGTCTGCTTCATATCATTTGGTCAGTTTTTTGTCTTGTTATATATTAACATTCATTGCAAATATTTTTCCTTTTGTTTGTATTTTATATGTGATTTTTTTCCTCTTATAAGTTTTTTTTTTTTTTTAAAGATTTTATTTATTTATTTGAGACAGAGAGAATGAGAGAGACAGATAGCACATGAGAGGGGGAGGGTCAGAGGGAGAAGCAGGCTCCCTGCCGAGCAGGGAGCCCGATGCGGGACTCGATCCAGGGACTCCAGGATCATGACCTGAGCCGAAGGCAGTCGCTTAACCAACTGAGCCACCCAGGCGCCCCTCTTATAAGCTTCTAAAAGGAATTAGATTTGACTGGTAGGGAGCACAAGGGAGCTTTATGGCCCATGGAAATGTTCTGTTTTTGATCTGGTAGTGATTACATGGGTGAAGACTTTTGGAAAATTTCACTGAGCTATGTATTAAGATTGTAAACTTTAAAGTAAGTTGTGTATAAAAACTTTTAAAGTAGTTAGATTTAGTACCATATCTCAGGGATTCTTCACATTTTAATTTGACATCAGTACTTAAGGTGCTGTTTTGTTACAAAAATCATTATGTACTTCAATACCATTTTTTAAAAATTCAATTATTTCTAATACTTTTATGGCTTATTTATTTAAGTGTACTTTGATTTGTTTTTCTAGGTTTCTGTTAAATTTTGGTACTGTTAGTTTTTACCTTGGATATAATGCAATGCAGGATTTTTTTCCTACTATGTCCATGAAGCCAAATCCTCAGTGTGATGACAGAAATTGCAGGAAGCAGCAGGAAGAATATAAGGTATACATCAATCCATCAGAATGTATGAGAGGTCATATTATTTGGACAATAATTTAAAACAGTTATTTAGATTTGGAATACAAGATAAATGGATTCTGGATTTTTGAAAGTTTTTTTTATGGTATCTCTAAGGTGGAAATGTTAGTAAAAAATTCACCATGCTTCAAAAGTAAAAAAATCTCTCTGAAGTCCTTTCTTGCTTTTGGTAAAGTAAAAAGCCTGTCTGAATTCTTGCTCAATGCTTCAGAGGCCTGAGAGTAAGAACACTTTGATACTGTTTGATTTCTACAGAAAAAGGTAGCAGCACTGCCCAAACAGGAGGCTGCTCAAGAAGAGGAAGAGATAATACATGAAGACAATGAATGGGGTAGGAATTCTTTCATAAATTGAAATGGCAGTGTCAAATCTCTTATGGAAGGGAATATAATTATAATTATACAAATTCTGAGTAATCATTGCTTATTAAGTTCCTTGAAAACTGTTGTAAGATCAAATTTAACTCTACAGGTATTGAGTTGGTATCCGAGGTTTCAGAAGAGGAACTGAAAAATTCCTCAGGTCCGGTTCCTGACTTACCGGAAGGAATTACAGTGGCATACACAATTCCTAAAAAGGTACGTCCAAAATCTGATTTACCATAAGTGAATGTTATATAAGAGAAAGTTTATTTATCTTCTTTCATCTTCATCCTATTTTATAATGCCAATGCAGTATTTACTGTTTTAGATATTTCACATTATATATAATGGCATTAAGACGTGTAAGAGAAGGTGTTCAGTGTTAATGTGGAAATAGGCATAGTGCCTTTTAAACTCTTTGAAACACAGACCTAAAATAGTGTTATTGACTCATGAATGGATCAGATAAAGTAGATTTTGATTAAATGAAAATAACATTTTTGTATATTGAGCATTTTAGCTATTAATACCATTTAAAAATGCCACTGCAGTAGAGATCTCAAGAATATTGAAATTACTGTCTTGTAAATCAAAAGATTGGTGGGGAAAGTAAAGGATTTTGTCTGTCCTAAAAATTAGAAGGCATATTTCTTAAAGTTTACTTTGTAAACTAGTTGTACATGGTTAAAACTTAGTGATTATATATTCCTAAGCATCACAAATTTTATATGGTTATTTTTTCACTATGTTTCCCTCATTTGTTGATAGCAAGAAGATTCTGTAGCTGAGGTCACTGTGGAAGATTCTGGTGAAAGCTTGGAAGACCTTATGGCCAAGATGAAGAATATGTAGATAATGGACTGACCTATATTTTATTTCCTGAGGTTAAGCCTATTCCCTTGCAATTAAAAAAATCATTTAAAAACTGACAGAATTTAGGGCAACATTAATTGATACATAATCTTCACAGAATTGTTTTACTTCTTGAATATAATGTTGTTTGGAGCTTTTTTCCCTTCAACTAAATCAGTAATTCCTAAAACTCATGTTTCATTCTAGTTAAGAAAACTTGAAAACTTAGCCACTGAAATGCTTTGGCCTTTTGGGAGGGGTGGGAAGAAAGGACCAATATGATGCTATATTTGTTTTCCTTCCAGTAATCCTTTGTGGTCTGTTGCCCAAGGTCATGGATAATAAAGTAGTATGTGGTTCTCAAATACAGGGAAAGGACAGGAGGTACATCCAATTGATTAGAGCTAGCAGGTATCTACTCATTGTATTTAAAATCTCTCTCTACAAGAAAACTGTCCACTATTATTAACTTGGCCAACAGTGAATTTAAAATAATCTATAAAATAAAAAATATCCTCTCAAATGTTTCCTAAATACAAGCTAAAATGTAGTCATCGGAAAAGTTTGTAAACCTGTGAATTCAAAACAAGACAAATGCAAATAAAGTAAGCTTTCTTCATGGATAAACAAATAAAGGTACTTTGTGGAAGTACAGATTATTATATTTCTGCCCTGACCAAGGAAAGAAGTCCTTGCATGTGTAGAACATATATCTGGAGTCACTGCACTTTATTGAGGAGTAAGGAATAAATTTAGTTTAAGATCATCTAGATTATACCCGTCAAATGGGCTACCTTCTGAGTACTTCATTTAAATTTGATTTTCTAGATAATTAGATAGTTGTCCTGTATTGGCATAAAAGAGACCTAAATTACGTCTGTAATGACTGACATATATTTATTCACTAGAAGAGTATCATTTACCCTGATCATGACCACTAAATTATAAACTGATAAACTGGTTTTCTCTAAAGTTGCATACAAATAATGAAAGCTTAAGAGAGCCTTAGTTAAATTCCCAGTGGTTTGGAGACCAATAAAAAATATGCACGTGTAACCATTATCAGTAGAATGTTAACTATGCTATGCTAATCTTCTGTTTTGGTGATTTTTTTTACTTTGAAGGTATGAATGAATAAATTTTATCTCTAGAGAAGAAATGTTAGTACAAAATGAAAAATGCAATTTCCATTTGTAAAATAAAGTTCTAAAAACTGATTTCAGAAAGTCCCAAATATCAAATATGTTCAGTATATTTGCTTTGAGATCCTAGAATCATATAGTGATTCTTCTGTTTAGAGTAAGGTCAGGAAAGTAGGGGGATGGTAGCCTTGAAACTTATTTATGTTGCCCTGGCAGATCATTTGCCATTAAAAAAGAAATAGTGAATTCATCTGTAAAGTAGTTTTTTCTAGTTACTCGAGATGTTTTGAACTTCAAAAAAGAAATGTAGTTTTTCTTATAATGACCCCATTCTTTTGGAATATCTGGTATACTGATTTGGTAAGGCTTTGCTTATAATTTTTTTTTTTTTTT